ATTTTACTTCCACCCAAAATAAGTCCTTCCTCTTCATCTAAGAAAAAAAAAAAACTAAGTGATTAAAATGAAGAAAAATGGACAATTACTATCAATTACTGAACCTTTATTGATAAAGTATAACTAAGTGGGAGCTTCTTTTGCATGAGAATAGCATAAACAAGTATGAACTCTATAGAAAAGTCTGACTGTTTGATACCTACCATGCTCCCAATCCTTTCTATGATTTCTGGGTGTGTCTTGTCCTATTTTTAAATTTTATGCATAAAACTGAAGTTTATTCGTTTCTTTTGTCAACAGCTTTCTTAAATTTATCTCTATCTAATAATACATTACCAACTATACTGAAAGATTTGTTCCAAGGTACAATTTCTTAGCTTAAGGAGTTTACAAGAGAGGCTGGAAGATACTGAATCATACACACTACACTAGCATAATAAGGTAACATACCGGACATACCATAAAAAGTGAATACACACTCCTCTGGGAGTTCCGACAAGGAAATACCGATGTAGACTAAGGGACAGAGAAGGAAAAGTTTTATTTAGACAAGTGGTGGGATTTGAGCTGGGCTTTAAGGCACAGGCAGAATTCACATAAGCAGGGAGATAGGGAACATTCTAGATCACCACAACAAAAGATGTAAGTGTGGAAATAAGAGAATATGTAAGGCACATAGTTTAGAAGCAGACAATAAAAAAACAAAAACAAAAAACAAAAAAACCAAGTAGTGCAGGAGGAGGATTTGTATCTCATCTTTTTTTTTCTACCTCCAATATACCCATGAGATACGACATCCTCTGATCATTAACCACGGCAGTGGGCAGCAAAGATTTTCACATCTGAGAGTCATGATACTAAAATTGGTTTAGGAAGAAAAGCAAGAAGATGGGCAGGAAGAGCACTTATGATCTGACTTCAAAATTTCAGATGTTAGGTAATAAGGGTGGCAATAATGAGAAAGCAAACACTGATAGAAATAGGAGAGTCTAAAATTGAAGCCAATTTTTTTTTTCAACAAAATGAGACTCATTTCAGACACACTGACTTCAAAATGATAAACACCAAAATGTCTAACTGGAGATGTGAAGCTGGAGAGCAGAGAGCTTGATAAATATTTGGGAGTCACCAGCATATGGATGATAGGCGGCATGGAAAAGGAAGGAAACAAGGGGAGAGCATATGTATCAGTCAATCTCTGCAAAGGCAACAGAAAGCAAAAGGTCAGTGAGGCAGGAGAATATCTCGGAGAGCACAATTCAAGAAAGCAGGAACCAATGCAGGAAAGGCCAATAGATTGGGTCATATGATTATTCTCAGTTCTGGGAAGAAAAATTAAAGCACACTGGTACAGGTAAACAGCATACTAAACAGGATTACTGAAAGGCTAGAAAGAGGGGAAAAATGGCCACACAAAGAGAAGGAAGGAAGGAAGGAAGGAAGGAAGGAAGGAAGGAAGGAAGGAAGGAAGGAAGGAAAGAAAGGAAAGGAAAGGAAAGGAAAGGAAAGGAAAGGAAAGGAAAGGAAAGGAAAGGAAAGGAAAGGAATGAAACCAGGTTGGTAGCTCAAGTGGCAGCAATAGCGGAAAAAAACAAAAAAACAAAAACAAGGTATTTTCAAATTGGTGAGTCCTGTGTGCAGATAGCCCTAAATAAAGATAGGAGTCAGAGGAGGAAGAGCATGACAATAAAGGAGGGATAGATAATAAGGAGATGACAGTAGGGTATAGAATACTACTACTAATCAGAACATTTACTGAAATTTTACCTGGTACCAATCACTCTGTGAGGCCCCGTAACTGCATCATTTCATTTTATTCCTACAGCAACTTTAAGTGTTTGGTATTTTTATTATCCCATGTTACAGAATAGAAAACTAATATGTAGTGATTAAATTACTTACTTACAAACCTACGAAGAGCCAGAATCAAAAACTGAATTCAAGTTTGTCTGATACCAGGTTATTCCTACAAACTTCTATGCAACACTGAAGAAAGCACACATGACAGGGCATTCCTAATTTGTTTACTCAGAAGAAAAATTTTAATAAAATTGTATGTAGGCAGTTTAAGGTAGGAAAGAATGTGGGTCTGCTTTCTCCCCTTAACAAACAAACAAAAGCCCAAACCATATACATTTAAGATAGAATGGACTTTTATAACTTTTTCCCATTGGGTTACTTTGGGTCTAATTTCTCCCTAGAACTTGATAAACTAGAAAGACTGCTGGTTTATCATATGTGTTAACAGTGATCATTTCAGGAAATAAAATCTGAAGTTAATTGCTGCTTTGGTTTTCAAGAAAAAAATCTTGAGCTGAAAGTTTTCAAGATGGTAGTTCATAGGACTATAGACAGGAAACAAAAATTTATAAATTAATTACATAGCAGATTTTATAATTTACCTGTATTAGGAAGACTACAGAGCTGCAAAACAAAAAAGAACTAGTCTTTTGGCACTTTGGTCACATGTAAATTTGGTTTCTGTGCTTGAGATATGAGCTCATATAATTACTATCTATGACTTTATAAATATGGAGAAAAGCAATCAAGTTTGGATTGGGCAGACATTCACTGATAGGTCAAAATTCCCTTACTTTCCTCCTGATATCTTCATTTTGACATTTCTCATTAGTGCCTACATTAGAAAGTGGGATCAGAAAGCAGGGAAGTTCAGGGGCACCTGGGGGGCTCAGTTGGTTAAGTGTCCGACTAAGGCTCAGATCATGATCTCACAGTCCACGAGGCTCTGTGCTGACAGCTCAGAGCCTGGAGCCTGCTTCAGATTCTGTGTCTCCCTCTCTCTCTGCCCCTCCCCCACTCACGCTCTGTTTCTCTCTCTCTAAAATAAATAAACATTAAAAATTTTTTAAAAAAAGAAAGCAGTGAAGTTCTTTAATTTTGCTATTAATTAATAACTCTAGCTAATTGCCTTTTGCCAGAGAAATTAGAAAATAAAGCACTAGGACTTGGGATTACTTACAGATTTTAATTATCCATCTTATTCCTTAGTCTGTGCTTCATTAATGTATAAATCAGAGTTAACCAACAGACAATGAAATCTACTTATTATCGGTTCTTGTAAGCTGTCTTGTGCTTCAGAAAATTGAAAATAATCACTAAAATGAAAAGTTTTAATTACATGTAGATGTCATTTATCCATGTCATTCTTAATTTAGTGTTTCATTACCATGTATGTACCATACATACAGATACCTGTTTAGGGGTGGAATGAATAATAAATCTAACATAAAGCTTTAATCCAATGTTCTTTTTTCAATGAAATTATGTTCAAACATTACAACTTCATCTGACTAAGCATGCTCCAAGATGCCTTTTATTTACAGCACCTGATCAGAAAAATTAAATAATTTAGACTCCTGCCAATAAGACATTTTGGATTTAGCAAAGCTTACGATTTAACATATACCTTACCATAATTTCTAAGTGAAAAAGAACAAAGAAATCATGAAGAAATTTTGACTGATAACAAAACCTCTCAAGTGGTAAGAAATCAAATATTCAAGGATAGACCACTTAGCCTAAAAGGAACAATATAAATTCTAGTGTTGTTCCAAACCAGCCTTTTAAAAACTCACCTCTTCAAAAGACGCAGTAGGGAAAAACCAACAAGTAGATGTACACTAATAACAAGATATTGCCTACTGCAAAAACCTTTGTACTTTGAAATACCATCTGGCTAAATTTAGAAGCTGTCCAGTATTATATCAGTAACTATATCTATCTCTTCAGATTGAGGAAACATAGATTATTTTATCTTCTATTCTTAAGTTATTTTCAGCAAGAACTGCTTAAAGTCTGTGACTCTTTTGCATTTCCTAAGAAGCTCAAAAACTGCACAAAAATAACATAATTGAAGTAACCACCCCTCATTTCAGTACCACAAAGGGAAATATATTAGTAATGATCTCTTGACTTTTCCATCACCTTTAGGAAAATTTCCATATATATAGTAAACGTAGTAATCTAATAAATAACAAACTTGTAACAAGAAGTCTCTTTGGCTTCTTCCTCAATATCTCAGTAAATCATTCTTCCCACCCAGGCATAGTCCATCTGATAGACAATCTCTGGTGTATGTCCTACATCAAAACAAAACAATGGATCTACTAATTTAGAGCTTTCATCCATTGTAAACTATCAGCACAAGCAGGGAAATCCAACATATAAGTAACATGTTTTAAAAGGCCCATCCATGAGCTCTCTTACTGGCAAGTGATAACAGTGCTTCTATGTCCAACCTCCTGTATGTCCTGGTATAGCATTCAAGAAACAGTGGTCACATGCATTGTTTACTGCTCTAAATGCAACACTGCCAAATTTTCTATATTTTTAATGTTTGAAATACCCCTTTTTGTACCATTTCTTAATCAAAAATTGAGGTTTTATTTTCTTTTCTATTTGTAAAATGAAGCTACTTAACACAGCACTTAGTGAAAATGAATTAAATCTCTTTATGCTAAAGTTTAAGATACCCTGGCTAATTAACTTACAAAATGCTATTTTAAATTGTTTCAGTTCCCATCCTACCAGTATTATGAGAAACAGCCCTTTAAAAATACTAGGTCTCCTAGCTAACAAAATTTCACATTCATAAAAACCAATTTGCGTTTTGATGATGATGGTGGTGATAATGACAATCTCACTCATTTAATTTTATTGGTGTAATAATATTTACATCGTAAGTCATTCAAACTTACCTTTAATAATATAATATGTAGGCAAATATTATCTTAAAAATACTTTCAATACTAGAAATTTATGCTGAAAAATACTGCTTTCTCATCGCAGTGTAATCTTTATAGGCCAGAATTCAGAGAAAAAGAATCATTTTGCAAAAGGCAAATATTTATATTACATAAATAACAGGTTTTCCCTAGACCTACTCATCAATACCACAACCATCACATAGTAAATGACCCTATACATTTAAAATGAATCCTAAATCAGAAATAGAATACTCAATTTTATAGATCATTTACCTGAACCTCGCTTGTCCTCTGTTTAATAGTATCTTCTTTCTCCTTAAGGTCCTGCTCCACATTATTCTTTTCCCTAGAAGACCAGCAAACAATGCAAGAATATTTGAGAACATCAGCTACAGCCGGTATGGTTATCCATCCTCCTAATCCTGAATCGCTTTTTAAATACATAGTGAAACATTCAATTTTTAAGCGAAGGGCAGATTTTCCACCCTCTTTTAATTATTTATGGAATAGAAATCAATATGAGCTCTGTTTGTAAAAAAAAAAAAAATGCTTTCTCACTAAAATGTGGTGAAAAGAGAATAGATTAAAAAAGGAAGAGGAGAAAAATAATCAATGAAACACTCAGGTTTCACTGATCTCACTGTTGCTATGGAAATAATGTCCAATGAAAACCACTGGTGAAAAAAAGGAGGGGTTGCATCAGCTCTGTAAGCTTAACCCTTAAGTACCACCGTCAAATCAAATGAAAATGGCTAATAGAAATAGCCAACAATATTAAGGAAAAGGACATTTATTGAAGTGTTAATTTCCCCTTAAATCACTGGTGTGTACCAATTTTAGAATGAAACAACATAGAGAAAATGGAAAAGACTGTCAATACACAGGCCATTTGCTCTATGAAATACCGCTCTGCTTAAAAAAGCTATTTTAGGACCACTAATCAATTCCAACTGATCAAATACATAAAACAACGTATACGAAGTAAAAAAAAAGAGTCATATGAGCATTTATCTCTTTCTATATTCTTCAGATCAAACATACCAGGATCCACTTCTACTTTGAAATACCATTATCTAAATTCTCATATGCTTCCATCAGAGCTAGATTTCTAATGAATCAGTCTTAAACAACCTTAGATTCAGAATTACTATAAAGCTATTTCTTTTGATGTAATAAGTTTAACTGCCTGTTGGTACTGAAATCACACACACACAAGGACTTGCTCCCTTCATTTTTTCTTTTCTTTTCTACAAAGTGAGAGAGAAATCCATAGAATTCTGAAGCAATACATTTTTGGGGTGGGTGCAAAGGTAAAAGAAGGCCACATGAAGAAGGGAGGAGGCATTCACTAAGTCCTCCAGACTAGTACTACAGAGTTTCTCCTTAGAGCTTCAGGACTGTATTTCAGTTTCATCCCAGACATCACCCAAATGTAAGCTCAGGCTCCATTAAGCTGTAGCATAAAGAAGAGTGGGAAAATTATACCAGAGGGGATACCTAAGGGTCAATATTAGTGCTACATTTATATTTCTGACCTATTTGAGGTGATATTTTAAACGCAGAAAAAATCAACTCTTTTGGAAATACAGGCACAATGTTCCTAAGATTTGTGAGGGAGAAAAAAAAGCACAAGAATAAAAGCTGTTTGTATACTGTTACTTTTAAACACTTGAGATGGCTCACTAACCGCTTGTCAGATGGTTCACAATGTGGGTCACGATGTTGTGGAGATTTTAAACAGTCCCTTACCATGCAAATCATTGTGGCAGCCTGTTCCTCCCATACCTCAATCTACTTATTATGCAAAGGTCATCCCCCACTTCTAACCCTTATAAATTTAGGTAACATTAAAAAATAGAAATCACAGGAAGAAAAAATCTATGTATACCACACATATTCTGCAAGCTCAATCTTGGAAATTTTTTCTTTCCTCCTTATGTGAACAGAAGAGTGTTTTCATTCCTGCTGCAGCATGTCAGAGGTAAGTCACATGAAAAACTAGCCCCCTCCCCCAATCCCAAATTCTCAGAGGCATTCCACACAAGGTCAGTATCAATTCTGCCCCTGTTTCTGACAGTAGCTAGTAACAAAAATAGAAAACATCACACAGTATCATAAACCAGCAATATAGCCACGAACATGTGTGTCTGTATTCAATCCATTCTGCTTCTCTGTTAACTCCTATTACTGACAGTGTCTGCTCAGAGATCAAGTGTGCAGGCAGGAAAACAGGGCTGCAAGAAAGCAGTGAGCTGACAAAATGTAGCCAAGACAGAAGAAAAAGAGCAAAAAACAAAAAAAAGAAGCTCACTTGGTGCAAAATGGAAAACAGATTAGAAAGGACTGTCAGCTCTAACCAGCAAATATAGTCTATGTTTGGGTAAAATGGAAGAAGTTTAGAAGGTACAAATTTTTCTTCATAATTTTGGGTGTGGGAATGAGGATAGCAGTGGTGATATCTCCAAACATATCATGAAGAGCATTTCAAACTATATAATAAATATGGGATCTTAAGGCATTAATTCTCATAGTACTGAGATCAGTAAAATTTTTTAATCCACTTTTATCTAGTAAAATTCTGGCCTCATGGTAACTTCTTTATTATCAAAATCAAGTAGTATAACATACATTACTAAACAGAAAATTAAAAAAAAATAAAATCAGTTATACTACCTTCTATAAAACCATCACAATTGAAAATCTATCCTATAAATTAGACTAAAGATCAAATAATTTTCTCATTAACTTAGATTATAATTTCAGGGATGCCAAATTGCTATTCTGTGGTATTCCACAGACTCAACTTCTATAGCTATCCTTCCCATTTCAGGCAAGTAAAAATACCTAAATATATTCAGGTGCACAAAGGTGCTTAGGTACTTGGTCATATATTTTACATTCCCCTTTCTTTCAAATAACATCACCTGTTTTTCTACAGGTGATGAATGCACAACTATACAAAGCATTCTGTTTAACAGTAGTAATTCAATAACCTAATTCTTTTCAAGATTCAGTGCCACAATAAAAAAATATTTATATGCAGTTTCCTAAGGAGTCCACCAATATATGGGGATAAGACAGATGTAAGATATATTTCAAAAATAGGTGTGTGAGCATTTTTCCCAAAGCACTACTCATCTTGGATGACAGGAAAAGCTATAGCCTTCAGCTTAGTAACTTCCAGAAGGGAAAAGAAGTGATTCTACATACCTTCTATCTTAGACCATCTCTTTGACCCAATTCACTCCCAAGATCCTGGCACATCCTAAAGAATCCACAAATACCAAAGCCATTATCTCCCTGGTTTCTAAAAGCTGCCGGTTCTGATTTGATGGAAACTAGTATGTGAACCAGCAAGAAAAACAAAGCCCAAGATAAGCTTTCAGAAGGCTGGGTAACTGTATAAACCTACATAAAGTAGTCAAAACCTATTCCCAAGAACAAGTAAGTTCGGGGAACCTGAGTCCATGCAATTCACTTTCATTTTCCCAGGCTCTGTTTAATGGCAAGAAGTGAGTGAGCCATCTGTCTTAATTTTGATATAATACCAATACTGTCAGAGAAACAGGATTAAGTCACCTTCAAAGCCCTTCCCAGAAACGTTTTAAGTCTTTTTTCTGAACATAAATACCCATTCTCTTCCAACCAGAGAGCAATAAAGAACAGAAACTAGTTGGAAGCCAAAAATCAGTTAGTTAGAACTCATGAAGGTAACTTTTTCAATCCTGAAACTTACTTATAAAAATCTTTTTGTGGGGCGCCTGGGTGGCTCAGTTGGTTGAGCGTCTGACTCTTGATTTCAGCTCAGATCATGATCCCAGGGTCGTGGGACTGAACTGTGTGTCAGGCTTGGTGTTGAATGTGGAACCTGCTCAGTATTCTTTCCAACTCTCTCTCTGCCCCTCTCCCTGACTTGCACAATAGAATAATGAAATGAAATGAAATGAAATGAAATGAAATGAAATGAAATGAAATGAA